TCCAAAATGATCAATTCCTGTTAAACATACTAAGGAGAAAAAAAAGCAAGACGAGATAAGCTTATTTTGTATTTCAGCATCGTTGATTTCCGGTTTAAGTGAATAGTCGATTTTCTACAATAAAAGAACAAATGAAACTCCACCGTCTCGATCGAATGTAAGTATAGCAATAGACAGATGTTGACATAGACGTCTCAATCGAATAATCAATCGAAAAGACGCTATATTAAAAAAAATTAAGCTCAAATTTTCTGCGACTAAGTTGCCGGTAAGCGAAACTCGTCGATCGGAGTGAATTTTACGCGCCTTTTGAGCGAATGGCGGTGTTTATCAGACAGTTCAGTTATTAGCCAATCCAACCAATCATAAAAGGAAGAGATAAATGAAATGTCAGTCAGCTTTTGGACTTTATTAGCCTTGTACATGGGTATGACCAATAATCTGCACAAGAACCCATCTAATGGCAGCACGTGATTAAATCTGTCAATCAAGCGCCACAAGAAGTAGCATACGGGGTTTTACTGTTCCATGCTTAGGAAAGTTTCGGTCAGTGAGAAAGTCATACGGAGATATGAACGTTTGCAATTTTGTAGTGTTTTTCCTGCTGTCGCCAGCTGTATACTGCTTAGGTAAGTAAAGAGGGTTTTCAAAGGGATTGTCCTAAGTCCTGCATTGTCAGATTAAATCTGATCTAGAATGTTAACTTTCCGAAATGTCTCCAATACACGAGCTTAAACGGTCGAACAGAAATCTATGCTTTTTTGTCCACAATGACATATCTGCTATGGTATCCCGGTTTTACGCAGATCATAGCACGCAATCTCGTTATTCGTCGATTTAAAGGGAATCGGAGCATCCCGGTGGTTTTGTTTGCTGTTTTGGATGGTATGGTCGGGGAATTTTGTCTCGTACCAACCTTGTTTTGGTGTGTACGGCGAGAAATGTAGAAATCGTGACATGCATTGGAAATTACGGATGCCTTGTTGTTTACATGTTTCACTATTGATGGGATCTTCTTGTTCAATACTTCTGTTCCTCTCTCAAGCTCACTAATTTTTCTTTGAAATTAAGGAATAATTTGAAAGAGTTTTGAACACTTTCCACTGTTTAGAAACATTGTCGCCGTAAAGTACAGGCTTACTAAAGGTTAAATGTTGTGACGAGCTGTTTGACATCAATGTACACGGGAACTTCAATTAGTAGAAAATCGCTTTCAAGAGAAGATTTTAATGGCTTGCAATCGTAGTCGATGACGTGTAATTTTCCTTGAAATTCTTTCTTTACCCCTGGCCATTGTAAAAAAATTTGTATCTTTTTATTTAAGATGCAATATTCTACCTAGTGACAGAGTAACTGCTTCGTATTTGAATCGAAGGTCATTGTTAATGAATTCACAAAACAAAGGTATTCCGTTGCGTTGCTTTTACGTTGCCTTCGGCTTTTTATATATATACCTTTTTTTTCTTTTTTTTTCTTTTTTTTTCCCGGAGACCCAATAACAGCATAGCCATGCTTCCTCTACTTTGCTTACATGCGTTTGTCCCCGAAGACCCTTTTTGAGATTTGTTTGTTTTCCTTCGATTCGCGTACTTTCATAAACAAACGCTCGCATGATTTTGGGCGCGCTTATCTAGCTGCCATTCATTAAACTACAATTTATCCAATATATAAATCTAGATTTTTCTTTTAAAATATGCTTTTGTGATACTAGTTCCTTCTACAATGATCGCTTGCCAGAAAACGTGACTCCCGTAATAGTTGGCTGCCAAAGCCCTAATCGATAATATTGACTTAAGGACAACAAAGTGAGGCTTGCCTATCAATTGTACATGGTTTAACAAGGTGGATGTCGCTTTTAAGCCCTTGTGAATTTGTTATAATATCCTGAATCCGGAAAATCCTAACCGACGTGCCCTCGTGTCAAATTTAGCTCGAACCGGTGGTCCGGTATGTTAAAGAAACGATGTTGTACAACGCGCAGCCGACTTCTATCCTAAGTCTTTAATATCGATTTCTACTGTTTTGATATTGAGAAATATCTCAGGGCTTTTCTGCTTGGATTTAATAGTTTCCGAGTACATTTTTCGCTTGTCTTTACTGTCTACAACTTCTATAATCCCTGCTTCCAGCTGAAGTATTATTGCAGTTTACGCCAAACATGTGATGATGTTTTAAAAAGATATCCTACAAGATTGAAAAGGGCAGCTTCGTTGACCTCTCTTTAGTGATCTGTGTATAAAGCTTTGATTTTTCACTGTGTGAATCTGTAAAACATGTTGCAATATACAGCTGAAAGTAAAAGAGGAACGGGTGAAACCAGTTACAAAGTTTTTCTTTTTTTTATGAATAATCTTCCCCTTTTTTGTTGCTTTTCTTTTTTTTTAACCCTCAATATAAGTAGCATTCTTTTCTTGATGATCAGTGATTAAAACGTCTAAAATTCAGAATGGACCATTTGTAGTATTATCTCCCATATGCAGATTTTCTTCTGTGAAAAGTGGAGTATGGTTTAAGCTGCTTTGTTGCATTGTTATGCTGCATTTTTGTTTCATGGGTCAGTGTTCTTTTGTAGGCATTACACCCTTAGGTAAATAGAGCACAGGTTTCTAACTGGTGTTTAGAAAAAGTCCCAGATCTTTCAATGAAATTTAAAATTTTTTATGAGAAGTGTCCCAAGGTGGACATAATTAAAAAAAACAAGGCCAGGTGCATCACGTTGGATACTATAATGGTACTAAACAGGATATTGTGCAACATCTTAAAATTGCATGCCTGGATGTTTTTGCATAAGAAATGTCACCCAGAAACAGTCGCAGTAGGTCAGTATCTTTTTTATTAAATTAGTTTGAAATAATTGTTTTGAATCATGTTTTGTTTTGCAATTATCATTATTTGAGAGGAGAGTGACCCAATGCCACGAAATGAATCAGTATAAGCATCATTTATTTAGCAGTGTTGTTTACTTAATTAGTGTTTGAGAAGTCCACGAGGACTCATAAATCATTGAATGAACAATTTCAAGATCTTGTGCAATCTTTTCAAAATGTTCTCAGCAGCATGTGGCTTTTGTTCATTTTGTTACATGCACATCAGACAGCTGTGTGCTGGTTTGAAAGGTAAACTTCATGTTCCGTAAAACAGGTTAGCTCTGCAAGTCTGAAACACCCCAGTTATCTATGACATAGTTCTCCATTCTTACAAGCTACATTTCTTTGTGAAGTTGAAGAGAGAATCTAGTGATAGTTGTGTCAGTTTAACTTGTAGCAGAATGAAATATTTGAACATAGAGGGAAAGTGGCTTGTTCCTTGGGTGTGGTCTAGCTAACTTAGGCCAGTTATTACTGCATTAGCAAATTCGCGTATAGTCACAAATAGTATACTCGGACTTGTTGTCTTATTTACATATCAAGTATGAGTTATATCTTGAGTAAATTATTTGTTATCAGAATCCTTTACAGGGAACCCAGCATTTGTAAACAGTTATCTTGCTCCTCACATGTGGTTTTACAGCATAGCAAATGTATCATATAATTATTGCAGAGACCATTGTGCAGTGTTTGAGTGGTTCATTGTCTTCGTAGCATGATAGCAAGCATTAAAAAAAAATCATGTCTTCGGCTCCGTAGAAAACAGCTCATTAATTCAAAGTTTCTCTAATGCACTGATCAAATCAACTTCTTTTACAAAGCTGGACACAGGCAAGAAGCCATGGTGAAACGAGTTTGAATGGAGATTCACAGCAAACTCTGAGAAAATGTTATCTTGGGCATTGTGAGGCACAAAATAAGCTATTTTAAAAGACATCATTCTCTCTTTGATTCAAAGCATGATGGGCCCAGCAGCAGTATTGCATCATTTCTATGCAAAGGAAGTTTAATGAAAATTTGCTGGCAGGCAAAAACTATCTGAAAAATAACGAGTTAACAGGACCACAGCAGTGAACAAACAAACACAGCTGTAAGAAACTCGAGAAGACTAAGAGACACGTGGTCCAGCTAAACCGCCCATTTTTACTGGAAATACAATGCCCATTCAAATGAACAATGGCCATTTCATAACAGAGAAAGCATTTGGCTAGCTCATTCATACTAATTTCTCAAACACATCCAAGAATAGAGGGGTATGCTCATCTGTCAGAACCAATACGTGTATGTGCTTAAATGTGCACTATACATGTTTGATGCACACACTTTGGTCCCCTTATCTTTGAGCTGCACTAACTAAGTATGGTTAGCCCCTACAGCAAAATATTTGGCTCGAGGTCATGACACTCAGACTGAGTCCTTTCAAGGTCTGTGCTGCACGAGCAAAGGCTGTGGTAAATATTTTTCCATCTGGTTCAATCCAAGTCTCACTACAAGCATTTTACTACAATATTGCTGCCCTCTTCTTTCTCTGTTTTTTATCTCTTTCTTTTCTCTTTCTTCTCAAAGGGCCCAAAAGCTTTTTCCAGTCCTTGGCAGGCCATTCCATATCAGCCTGTCTGTTTTAAACCAGACCAAAACGATTTACAAGTGTTTTAAAGCAACAAATGTTTTTGAAAAACTATGATAATGTTTTCATTGGTCATCTATCCTTTTTTCTTTTTTTTCCCGGGGGGYGGGTAGGGGTYTARAKAYWGT